TAAATTGTTATAAAATTCTGCATCTCTCATAGCAAATATTATTTTCGTATTAATTGATGCTCACAGCTAGAATTTTTTTGCATTACAGCCGGTGCCGTTCAAAGTCTACTTATTTAAAGCGGGCGAATTTTTACATACTCTATATGTCGAAGAGGAATCCAGCAAAATGTCAAGTGTGTTATATTTTTGGAAAGGTAATTTTAATTTCTTTTCAATAAATTAAAAATATACAGGGTGTCCCATATAAAAAATCAAATTTTCTGTTGATAATTCTTAAATTATTAATTTTAAAAAATTATACTTTAAACCATTAAATTCTACGTAAAAGGTGCTTTGGAAATGTTTTCATAAAAATACAAAATTTTCTATAGCAAAAAAGTTACAGCGATTTGTTAAAAATGCATATTTTTGAAAAACACCCCGTCACTCCGAAACGGTAACAGATATCGATATGCGGTTTTCACCATCATGTTTTTGACAAAAATTGAGCTCAGACACCGATATCAGTTTTTGTCTATCTCCCATAGAAAAGGGTGTTTCCATCTAAAAGCGTCGAATTTGACCCACCCTGTACAGGGGTACCATTTTAGTTGAAAATATCTTCGTTATCAGTGAGGATACAGAGATATAGTTTTCAATAGCCTGTCCCAATTTTTTGTAAAACGAAAAATTCTGTAACCCTCTTTGTTTCTGAGCTACAGAGTCTTTCATCTAAAAACTGTTGATTGAAAGAATTGGGAAGATACGCATCCTAATGGACGAATTAATGACAAGGCTGATATGATTTCCCCTTACGTCTCAAGTGCTGTACGGTGGAGACACCAATCGTTCTGCGGCCAACGCATAAAACACTTATTTTCTCTAATTCGGCCAGCGAAGGCATATCGAAGACGGTGTAGAGCTGAAAGCGACAGTGTTGCCGTATTAAACTATGTAATATCTGTAATACGTTTGACGAACATATTTCTGGATGAAAGGGCCGCGTTTATGTATTGAAAATTTATTCGTGTCAAACATAGGATACACAACAAAAATTAAAATTCTTTTATAAGTACTGAATATGTATGTACGATCGAAAGAAAGTCGTTTAGTTGGCTTGGAAATGATTAAATTATTGACATTTACCATAATATTTTACATATGAAATAATAGCTCTCCATTTCCAAGTCAACTCTGACGTCGTTCTTTGTTTAATCACATAATATATTAAATTGTTTAATGATAGAAAATCCGCATTATTAACGTACTGTACCTAAAATTCGAAAATCTATGGATTAATCAGTAGTTCTGGCAATATTGCCTCCGGCAACCTCTCACTCTGTAGACAGAAAGAACTACGGTTCAGTATCTCCACCAGGGGGATGACACTTCTTATGGGAGAACTGGCAATGGTTCAAAGCTTGACTACAAGCGATTTTCTAGGAATCTTACTTAATTATTGACAAGAGTGACAAATAAAACCTTGACGTTCTTTCAGTAATTGAGTTCATCTCTTTTTCTTTCTAAAGCGTGCGTTTGAAAGGAGACAAAAACCATTTTTGGTGACCCATAATTTATCATTTCAACACCACTTTTCTCCTTGTCAGGTCGTTGACGTTGACTTGTCGCCATTTTATTTCTTTTGTTTACACGCTGCAGTTTGCTTTGCAAATTTAATATATAAATTATTTAGGCAAATATAGGTTTTTGATAAAACTCCTCGGACTAACGTGTAGGTAAGTGTTGATAGATTTTTTTTTATCTTAACATGCTCATTGTCATTCTCCTGATTTAAGTGACAGAAAAGGATCATCAAATCAAACTGAATTTTATGTTTTTTCATTCCAGGTAGTAAAATATATATTTTATAGATACCTTCCTAAAACGAGATGAGCCATTAATATCAACGGAAGAAACGGGCCATAGTGCAAAACAGAAAGGTGATCTTTTTTCTTTCCACTTAGGATATTGAAATTATATACTGTAGCTGAGTTCGGCATTGTGATCTGAGAAATCTAGATAAACAAAGAACAATAAATATTAAATATTCCAGGGGAAATAAGAAGAAAAACCTGTATCGTCTCTGATATCTGTCAGGGTATTGTTGAAAGTGTCATCTTTTTGCTCGAAATTTTCAGATCGATCAAAAAGATGACATTTACAACAATACTTTGCCGTAACTTTGACAAATATCAGAGAGTACAGGTTTTTCCTCTCTTTTCCTCTGGGATGCTTTATATCTGTTGTTCTTTGTTTATCTAGATTTGTCAGAGCATAATCGTCCAGTTGGCTTAAAAATGATGATATGATCGATGACATTTCCCATATAATTTTACTTTCAAAATTATGATATATATCTTCATTTCTAAGCCATATATGACGCCGTTTTTTTTCAGTTTTGTTATAAATAATTTTGTCTCTTGATCTGTACTTGTAACATTATTCTTTTAATTTTATTAATTTAATGTGGAGAAATTAATTTCTGTTGTATATTTGATATTGACATTAAACATATTTTTAAAAAATTGTGTATTTTTTGTGTTTTTATTTATGTCATAATTAAAAATAACTAAAGAATTAAACATTTTTATTTTTTTAAACTTCCCGCCATACGTGATAATTTAGTCCGTAGTTCCGACAAGCGATATTGGGTAGTAGCAGTAGGCTTGTCAACAGTGTCAAATTTAAACGTCAATTTCACTTTCCAATATGTAACAGGGCTCTTGCACTTGTATATGTGTTTTGTGATCACCACTGTATCTCCACGGTACATTTATCCACTGCGCTGTAAACGACTATTAAGGCAGGCGGCCACTGCGAGCGAAACAAGATTTGTAAAAATCAGCTTCCATACTTTTTAATGCGTCAGCGGCTACTTGAGCGAAACAAAGCGAAAATATATGAACGAAGATTCGAATCGTAGTTTAGTTTCGCTCGTTTTAGTTCGTGACAGGTTCCAGCGAATTTTTCGCAGAGATTAGTTCTATGATAGCAGAGATACAATACGAAAACTTAGCTGACTACTGAGCGAAAATCGTTCCCAGTGGGGTTCCCATTTAGTTACCGTTTGTTTTCATATTCTTAACTTAGTTTAGTTACGCTCGCAGTGGCCGCCTGCCTTTAGCGTGCAGCGGCGCAGAACTAAACTAAATCTCGGACAGGCTGACGGTAACGCCAGCTACATCTCGGACAGGTTTTGTTCCACGAAATCGCCCATAAGGTTGTGCATCTTCTTATTTCTTCAACCAACGCTAAAACACAGAATTCTTAAGAATAACTGAATCCGCCACAGAGACTTAGACATTATTAAGAGTTCGGATTTTCTTCTATAGTGGCGAAAGATTCAGAATCCTTTTAAAAATCATAAATTATATTATTTAAATAATATCATATATTATCATAACTGTAAAATCGCTATTTTTGGGGCTTACTCAACCGGATCTCACAATGCAAATTCACCTCAAATATCCCTTTAGTTGGTCATTGGCAAGCACTCTCTCATTGTACATGAAAATAACAAAACAAACATTTACTGATTTGGATAAAATTGATAGTAAAATAGTAAGACTCACCCGGGGGTACTCCGCCCCCTAGCCACTGACATCACTGACATTCTATTCAGCATATCCCATTCCATATCTTCCATCTAATTCAAATATTATTCGGATCTATTGGTTAATAATCTTCAACAACTAGCTAGTGCCACCTGAAATAGTATAGGGGCTTCCCCCGGACGCAAATCTGCCGCTAAACAGATTCGCATCCCAATCGATGAGGCTAATCTGGGTCCTCACGCTGTGAGGCCCCACCGCGTCAATCGAGAAGCAAGAGAGACCTCAAACTCTCAAGACTATCCTCGAAGGAACGACGCCACAAGAGGTTTTCTACTTCCATAGTCAAAAGACTCGTTACTTCCAAATATCAGCTCTGTGACAAAACACAACACTACAGCCGGCCGGCCTATCAACTACTGACTCGCCGCCGGCAAGCTAAGCCTCCTCTTACATCACAATTTTACCTGATCACAAATATTTACATCGCTTGCCAATGAATCATACTATTTTCTCTAATCGACTTTCAAATAGAGTGTTTTAGCATTACTAGATAAATAAATAGAGAGTTTCCGAAGGAATGCATATTGTTTATTAAAATAGTGAATTAATAAAAGCATTATCATGACGAACTTATTTTCCAAGTTTTACATAACACAATCTCAATCTAAAATACGATGTTAACTTGCACAAGAATGGTATCTATCGAATTAGATAAAAAAAATTACTTTAAATTTCAGTATTCATAGTTCTTTATCAACTATTAATATACAATTCAGTATTAATCAAGATGAAATATATTTGAAACCAACTGTTACATAAGTACGAATAATATTAATGGCTCTAATTATGTACTGGACATTTAACACTAATGTGAACGTTGTACTCAATTACTAATGGGAAATTTGTGCCACTTTACGTCATAGTAAAAAGTGAGAAAGTATCCACTTAAAAGTGCTTTAAAATAGAAAACTTGCTCACTATAAATTGAAATTAAGCTCTTAAAGGCGGTGCTCGTGTTGTAACGTCTCCTCCCGACTCTTTTAGACCTGTTGCTTGACGGTAATTCGGACAATATTTTCCTATTTTCTCCCATGTAGATATCTTTTATTATTTAAGAATCAATTTCCTTCAAAAAGTTACATGGCATTTTGAACATACATATTAAAATAGAAAAATATTATAATAAGGAGTAGATATATTAATATTGTATTGATGTAAGACAAAAAAGTGAAAAATGTTTTAAAGTAATTGGATAGATAATATACAAAATATTTATTAAAAATAATACGTTTAATATGTAGCAAAGTCGAGTATGTCACGTTGACAATTATTAAATTGGGTGTCGACGTCGACTTTCTAATTGACTGATTTCACTAATTTCGAGGTGAAGCTTTATTTAGAGCTTCAAAGTTAGTGGAATAAATTAGTGTTTTAAATTACACTTTATACTTAAAGAGTGGCAGTCATTTAAATGTCTAAAAAATACAATAATTCAATAATTTGATCACATACGTCAACACCACCCATTTTCTGGTTGTACATACCAACAACATTGGGACACGGGACTTCCACATGTTTTTTCTCACTCTTTTCCCATCTGCTAACTACTCCTTGTGGCTCAGATCCACAGGCTGTAGATATCATGAGAACAGATTTATTGTCCATCCATTTTGTCACGCTAACTTTTCCATCGTTTCTAACTAATTTCTGTGAGTTTCCTCTTTTAAATTGTTTGTCTTTCAGAAAATTACATTTCTTCAATCTATTTGGCATGATGGTTACGGTGCCATAAATTTCCAAAGAAATCAGCCTGTCAAACAAAGATTCAGTCGAAAAGTATCGGTCAAAAGAAAGATAACTCTCTTTTGGTAGTGTATGAGATAGGTGCAGGATAACCGAGGCACCAAGACCCAGGTCTTTGTTTTCGAAAGGCGTCAGTTTACCTTGATAAATTTCAAAGTCAAGAATTTTTCCCTCAGATGTTGTGAGAACAAAATTTTTAAGATCCACTGGTCTAGGTTTATTCCTCACATACTGTCTCACTGGACACCTTCCTAAGAATGGAATCATTTGTTCGTCAATTGAATACGAGGATCTAGGTTTCCTCTCCAGTGATCTGCAATGGTTTCGAATCATGTCTATCATGGGTTGAAGCTTCCATAGTCTATTCTCCTTTTGAATTTCACCTGGAACTCCCAGAATATCCACAACGTAAAAATTAACTCTCAAAAGGTAAAACATATCACGCGGCATCACATCACTCACTAATTTAAATTTGAATTTACTGTTCCAATACATACGAATTCTAGGAAAGTGCAATGGACGCATCCCATGATGGCATGTAAACCAAAAAAAAATTTGATTTCAGTATCAGAAACTGCTAAAACTCTTCCAGTTTTCTGTAAATAGTATTGAGCTGTACATTTGGCGCCCAATGAGTAAAAATCGGCCCCCAAATATTTTTGAAAATAGTGCCATGGACTCTGGGGACTGTTGATACTATTAACTACCAATGGATCTTCTTTACTGGAAAATAAGCCCGGCTTCCACCCAGACTCAAGATACGCGAGAGGAACGTCGTCTTCGGAATCAGTCTCTTCTTCGTCGCTGGACTGTGTAGCCTGAGGAACAGCTATTTCCCCTTCCAAGACCTCGGTAACAGTTTCTTCTTCATCGGATTCCATCTCAACCTCCGAATCAATACTATCTAAGAGATCATACAAGGCATCTGGATCGTTTTCTAGTTTTTTTAAGTCGATTTTACCTGAAATAGAAATGAGTTGTGATAATACTCACAATTGTGAATATAAGGTATCAATCCCCTCATGTACAATTGTGATATGCCAACAAAAACCTAACCTAGAACCGAATTGAAATCCAAAACCCACCCTACGATATATGGGATACTCCTCTCTGTTTAAGTCAGATATCATGAGTTAACTACATTGAATCAATTGTTTTTTTTTGATAAAAATAAAGTACTTACGTTTAGAAGTAATGGCGACACAAAACGTAAATAAACAAATGGCAAAAACGCATATCCACTGATCAATCAGCTGAAATTCCCGTTGGCGCACAATTTGTACCTTCACGATTGTACGATACAGGAGCTGATTCCACCAAACTTAATTTTCGCCTTTATGTAGCATGTAAATAAGGAGCTACAATTGTTACCACTGGGAGCGTAAGGGTTATGCGAAAATGTTAATCTCAATGTTTTGTTGAAAATCATAATTGACCAGAGTTTAAAAATTGCAATAGATAATAAAATTACTTAATATTCAGTAGTATGGATACTTAAGCACCCACATTTTTATCCGTATAAATTCCAGATTGTTCAGGAACAAATTGATGATAGAGATTACACAGTTTTCTGAGCGTATGATAGAGTCACTTGACAATGTTACCTAAAGAACATATTTTTTTCTGAACATTCAACTTTCACGTTGAATGGCCAGGAAATCGACAGAACTGTCGTTATTGGAAAGACAAAAATTCACAATCGGTGATGGAGAACTATACTTACTGGCTAGAAAAAGTCGTCAACGTTTGGGCGGGCATTATTGGCGACAAAATGATAAGTTCATCAATGATAATGTAAATGGCCAGATACTTGCGGTTTTTAGAAGAAGCTTATTCCAAATCTGGCAATTCCTCGATCCTCTTTTTAGAAAAATTTCTGTAGAAATATCTGCTTTCCGTAGAAATATTTTCTTATGCAAAAATATGAGCAACTTAAAATAGTAATTGACGTGTTCAAGACTTTTGTTTAATTTCTCAGTGTTTAATATACTGAATTTGCTTTAATTTAAAGACTTACACTGTATACCAACACTGCAATATGTATAAAGAAATAGGTATATAGTTCCAAATTTTTATGCACAGCGAAGTGAGCAGGTATCATCTAGTTATCTTACAAAACAATAACATTTGATTTGTAATATAATAAATACAGAGGGTATCAAGATGAAACTACAGTATCTTTCTATACTCGTTTCGACTATAGTGATGGCCCACAATTTCTCTTAGAGGATGAACATCAAATTCCAAAATAACATTACCCGCAAATTGTGAAAACGTAAAAAAAACTTGTTAACCATTTTTTACTTATTGAAAGCAGTATGCCACTAATTTTTGGCATTCTGAATGTTTTCATTGAAATTAAAGGAACAAACTTCTACGCTAATTGGAACCACTGATTTAATCCATTAATTTGGTTCTCAATGAGGATTAAGTGTAATTTTCTCATATCCTTATATTTTTGTTTTGTATATTATCCAAGTTTATAGTTAAGTATAGTTTATTCAAATTACTTCTTCCTTCATAAAGTGTATATTTTCGAAGTTAACTTTAAATTCTTGTTATTCACATATGCTGAAATAAAAACGCGCAAATTCGTGACCTACATGTTTCCGAAACATTTTACCAGCTCGTGCCACTTCCCTGACAAATATTCCTCGTGCGAAAGCATTTATTGGAATATTTGACTAAAAGAGTTTCTTTTTGCCATTGGAAAAGGCCCTAAATATTGAGGAAAAGTCAAACGCCAATTTAGACTTCCACGTTTCTCTTTGTGCCTTCGTTTTCTCCGATCTGATATTCGTTCCGATATGAGCAAATGTTTTCGCGTAAGCCAGTCTGTCGTCAATCAAGTCAAGCTTTATCTCCCTCTTGCAGTTTAGTACGTCCAATAAGTTAAGAATAAACGTCAATAATTGTATATACCTATTCTTTTGGGATCTCGTTTTAAATCGATGAGTAGTATTAAGTAGTTTTTTATTAAATAAAAACAATTGTGGTTGAGTATACCCGAGCCTCTCAAAAGTGGCTCACCTTTTTTACCAACAAGATTTGGTATGTCAGCACTGAAAAAAAGGATCTCTCAGTCGAAATGAATATGACTTTGACCCAAAAGATTGGCGCTTTTCAATAAGGCCAAGAACGATGTTTCTTTGCCCAAAGCATTAACTATCTTTTCATAAGCTTTAAAAAATTACTTTAGAGAATAGAAGAATCTATCAGTCCAAAGTATTTCACTCTTGACCCAAAATGAATATGCAAAGAAGTTCTTGCTACAAGAACAATAGTCTCTTTGATTCAGGCAAAAATTCTTGATTGAAAAGGGACATTTCTTGATTAAAGAGACACTTTTTTAAACCAATAGCGAATACTATTGACTCGACTAAAATTTATTTTGATCTAAGAGAAGTCTATACATCATATACAGGCATATTACGAGGTATATTTTCTCATAAAGTAAGTAAGTAAAGTGACATTATTTTCCTCGATAGTAGTTATTTCTGCTTCTTCACTCCTTGGTATTTGTTGGGGTTTGGTTTCACTCTACAAATTACAAAGAAATGTTACATCACGATTAATCAAAGTAAAGCAAATAAATTATTAAAATTATAAGCTTTGGTCACATTTTGAATTTTTTAATTTGACGACTTGAAATTCTAAAATTTTTGTAATTATTTGCATAAAAAAATCGATACCTATATTCTTATTCTATCTATAGTCACACATGCATTATCTAAACAGGTGCATTAGGTAAATGTCTCTTACCTTCAAATATAGCAAATATATGCTCTAATTTCCATTTTTTCAGAAACTCCTTTAAAGAATCCATATATCCTAAAATTTGTCCATAAAAAATGACAAATGCATGTTAATAACGATCACTAATTTGTTATACGGTATGCGTTTAAAAAGCAAATTATGCAAAATTCCAAGTGGAAAATTCCAAGCAACAAAACCCGTGCGTACTATGATGTGCGACCTATGAAATGCGACATACAACTGATCGGACTGCCGACTGATTGTATATACCGTCCTTCGTCATCGTCTTTGCGTGTCGTTATTATTTTTCATCAAAAGAGTATGTAGCTATTGGAAAAATGGCCATGTTTTTTGAATGAAGTACTTCCTAGCGTATTTTTCTTACTATCTTAAAACAAAGTAACTTGCACTTGGTTGAATGAAAATAGATTCAAGAGAAATTTTCGAATTTTTCAAGAGAACCAGTTTTCTTGAGTTAATAGAGTTTTTCTTCAGGCAAAATATTTTCTTTTACGCTAAAATAAATTCTCTTGTCACTAAGTTTTTTTTTTCAAGAACGATGACGACTTTAGTTCAAGTCTATCTTTTTTATCAGTGAGTATATGGCATTAATTAGGATTGACTGACGTATTCATTTCTTTTCAGCCACTTCCTGTTTAACCGAAAATAACTACCTCGGTATTTTTGTACATTATTCGATCAATATGTCAACTTTTAATATTTTAGCTTAAAACAAAATTGTAGTTTAAATTTCAAACTAGAGTGTCATCATCAACCAACCACTAAAGTCCACTACTGGACGTAGGCCTCCTTCGTTTGCTTCCATAACTCCCTATCTTGAGCTATTTGCATCCAGTTACTGTGGATACGCCTTAAGTCGTCATGCCATCTGGTTGGAGGACGGCCTCTGCTCCTGAATGCATCGTGTCTTGGTCTCCATTCTATCAGTTTCTTCGTCCATCGATCATCGTTTAGCTCTATGGCATTATGACTTTTGCTCTGTCTCCCCCCCGTACTTCAATATTCGGTACTTTGTCTCTCAGAGATAGCCCCAACATTGATCTTTCCATTGCGTTGTTCTTCTTTGCTTACAGTTTTCTTGGTTAATGTTAGCGTCTCCGCACCATACGTTAGAACAGGCAGTACGCATTGATTGAATATATTTTGTGAATGTCAAATGTTATTTTCTATACGTTAGGGTTTGGCTTCATTCGAACAAGTTTTCAAATATAAAAATGCATTTTACGGACACTAACCGTAGGTACTATAACGTAGTAGTGTGGAGAGCATAATAGGAAATGAAAAAATTATAGGTTGAGTACACACAAAGTTGACAATTTAAGGTATGTTGACATTTGGCTGGTTTCGCATCGTTATATGTTCAGTTTTAATTTAAAAATAGATGCAGTTTCTCTTGAATGAGTTAAAATAAGCTTGTTCAAATTGGGAATGTATGTTCAGCATACACAAACCTTTAAAAAACATTCTCGACTTCGCTGAAAAATTGGAGCCAATATTTGGAGAGATTTGCTATGTTTCCTACGATGATGCACCACCCAGTATATTTTAAATTATTTTTATTCTTCTAGAAACATATAAAGTTACCGACTTTTTTTCCTAATGCAGTTAACGTCTTAAGCTTGATTTTCGTGCATCCGTTATCCGACGATACGATGATACGATATTAATTTTAT